CGCGCTGAGCTTCACGGAAGGGCCGCGGAAACGCTCCGGCTCAACGGAGGGTGAGCTCGGGGCCCGGCCGGGGGCTGGTTCCACAGACGTCCACACCCGCCCCCCATACCACCCGGGTGGACTGATCGGGGCGAGCCGCCTTCTCTCTGCGAGCAGCATCCCAGTGTTTGGCGACGTGCGGACCTTCCTAGTTGGCGGGTTTCCTGGGGAGAACCTTCCTCGCGTTCATTGTGGCGATGAGGAGGCATCCTCCCCGCGGGATGCTGGGCTCGCTGGGATTATGGACACGCGGTGATCTGTCACTTACTTCTTTCATCCTGGGCTGAGATTTTGCATTAGTGATTGCGGGCGGAAAGAGGAAGAAAAGGTTCCGCTTGGGTGCAGGGAACATGCAGGGATGAGGGGCCATGTGCGCCCTTAGTGCACAGTTTTGGTGGGTGAGCTCAAAGGGAAGGTTGCAAATGCAGTCTCCTTCCGGCCAGGCTCCAGAGTGCTCTCAGCTCCGCTTTTGACAACCCAGAGGCCTGTCAGAAGTTGAGGTTGAGGCATAAATTCTGCACTTGTGGCTGGGAAGGTGAACCAGGCTTTCCAAAGCTGTCCTTTTTGTTTCCAAGGCTGAAGGGGCCCACCGTGAATAGAAAACAGCGCGGCCAGGTCCTGGGTAGCCAAGCGGGAGCGCTGTCATAAAGGAGTTTTTGTCTGAAAAATCCAAAGTCTGGGGCTTTGAGCCACGGAGGGTTGGGTACTGGTCAGTTTTAACTGCCAGGGTGAGAAATGTCCCAGACATTTTTTAAATTAGGCAGCTGAGTCTAGCTCCTGCTTGCTGGTCTCCAGCACCTACATTTACCCTTTCCAGTGACTGGGTGAAAGAGGAAAGACACAGAGAGAGAAGTGTCTTCTCCCTTTTCCCCTTAAAATGAGGGCATAGTCCATCTTGGGTTAAGATGAAAAGAAAAATCATTCCATTTTGCTCTTGACCCTGAAGAAAAGAATCTCAAAGAAATACTGGACAGAAAAATTCTCTCCTTACCTGGAGTGCTTACAGAACTGAACAAAGAAAGGAAAGAATTAGTGCGTATCGCAGGCCATCTGCATTTACAGGCAGGTCATTTTTCAGATGCTTGATGTTATACAATAAAAAGGTGGGAGGGAGCCAGACATGGAAAGGAGGGAGAGAGGTGAATGCAGGGCCTTAGAGATTGCAGCAGCCAAGAGAGTCTGTTTTCTCCTGATACCGGTCTGGAAGAATCTGGATGTGAGTACATAAAGCTTAATCTTTTTATCTACGTAACATGAAACTGCTTTTAATTTTCACATTGAGTTCTTAAGAGTTGAGGGAAGCACAGCTGGACTGTGCCACATGCATCCCGGGCAGCTTGGGCTGTATTGTGTGTCAAATGAGTTGTTTATTTTGCCATATAATTCTGTCAAATGTTGTCAGATCTGTAACCTCTCTAATTCCACGAGTGTTACTTATTTCTAGTTATTCATTCATGATATGACATTTGACTAGAATTTGCTAGGGTGTTAAAGCTCAGAGAAATGCAAAACCCAGGGAACACCTTGCGTTGGAAGTTTTGATCATCTTGCAGAGGAATTCTTTATCCAATATCAAATATATAAAACAGGTATAACAGGATTTGATTATTTTTGCTACAAAACATATTTCTCTTTTCATACTACATTAGGTCAGTCTTTTAAATAGTTGGCATTGTTGGTCCATTCAGAATGCTTGTTCACTTACCAAGAAATCCAAGTGTTACCCACCTCTATAAGAAACCTGTTGTGGAAAATGTACTTGAATAATCAAAGTGGTTAACCACTCTGTATAAACCAAGTTGTGTTAAGTAAGTTGATCTTGTCGCTTTTAATGATGCTAATTGGTTTTAAAATTTATCCTATACAGTGACAGGAGGAAGCCAGAACCTCGGGCAAAGTAAATACTGCTGGGAAATGTGGACCCCAGGCCTCAGGAGGTACGTGAAGGAGAACATGCGCTCACTAGTTAGCTGAGATTTGTGTCATTTTGGACTCTTGCTGCCTCCTTTCTTGCTCATGTGGAGATTTTAGGAACATTAAAACTCCTCAATAGGAGTATGTACACATATATTTTGAAGAAATGTTTTCTTAAATATAATGGGAGCAAGCCTGGCCTGGAGATTAGTTGAGTTTAGTACTTGCTAAGAGGGGTGCCTGACATGCAGTGAGCCCTACACAGGTATTTGCTAATGATTTGTTCTTTGTTATTATTCATGAGAATCTGGCTTAACCTCACATCCGTCCTGAGTTAGGACAGATGTGACTAGATGAGCAGTCATTCTAAGATGGTAAATTGTAATGATGGCCAAGTAGACGCAGGAAATTTCTGAACTTAGACTGAGAGAAACCCTAACTATGAATCTAAAAATCACAGTTACCATAATAGAACTTTATATATGTTACGATCATATGCAATGTTTTATTTTATTAAGTTGTGATTTAATAATTTTATTGATTAGGTAATACATTTTGGTTCAAACTCAAAGGCCTGAAAAGGTTGACTTGTTTGTAGAATGTCCCCCGTTGCTCTAGCCCTCAGCTGTCTAGTTTCCCTTCTTCCTGCGAGTCCTCCCAGGGTTATCAGTTTCTTGTGTATTACTGGATTATTTTTGTACTGTTTACTTTAGTGTCTAGATATGTTTTGGGAGAATGTTTTAGAAACTGAACACTAGACACATGGTCCTTCCCCTGGGGTTCGTCTGTGATGGGGATGGGGACCAGGAGCTTCCATCTTAGTAAAGGGCCATTGACAGGATTCTTCGTTGGTGTTCAGTCCACGAGGGACATGGGTCTCCTTGCTGCTCTTGGGATTCTGGGATCCAGCCAAGTTCTTCATCCAGGTGGCTTATTATTTGTTTCCTCACTCTGCTTTGCCTCTTCTCAGCATCATACCCTACTAGAGGCCTTCCCTTTGTCCCTTACTCTTCTTTGTTACCATCAGTGGCATCGAGTGCCCTATACCTAGGTGTGATCCTATACATTAATGGCTCTGTTTGTTTATGTCTTGTCTTCCTCTGTTAGCACCAAGCACCGTGAGAGCGGGGAGTATGTATTACCTTACATATCCCCATGACCCTGAAGAACTCCTGGCCTAGAGTAGGCACTTTGTAAATATTGCTGAATGAATGACATTTGGGAAAAAGCTGTTTTAAACAGTTAGATGGGCTTATACCACAGGACTTTTCAGAACCTTTAATAAGCAGATGTGCATGGCAGAAGTGGAGCGTGGCAGGTGGGAGTCAAGCTCTTCAGCACAAATTCAGAAAGGCTTTGTGCTTTTGGGTGACAACTCAAACA